CGCGAAAGCGGAATAACTACAAATGTAAACACGGATAGGCCAAACTCTCTGAGATAGATTGTCAGGGATCGTCAGTGCCCTCTATTGGTCGTCAAAATCTCCCTTAGACAATCTTATCCGGACGTAGCATTACGATTCCGAAGAGATGGAATAGAAGAATGCCTTTGACAGGATTGGGAAACTTGAATTATCGAGATAATTGTGGGAATATAATAATGGACGGACGAATATTTCAAGGAGCGCAGCAAGTGATTACCATATATACCGGGAGAGGACCACTTGACCATGACAGGATGGAAGCCTTTGAGCTTCTGGATTAAGCGATCGTTAATAGCCTGTCGTTACGTTTTAGTCACGGAATTTGTCTCCTGTAACGATCCCTATAGAAACGAATGAGCTAATTTTCTAGGCATCAAGAAATTCATGACAACTTTCTTGACTTCCTGAGAGTATATGATGAGATAGGTTTGAGATGACGAAAGTTCATCGGGCGTTAATTGTTGACATGTTCTATAGATGGCATTCTCCGTATAACTGGATTTGGCTCACAGATATATTTCTAGTTTATCTATTTCCATTCCTATATATGTGAGAGTTAGTGCCCTGTTTTAATACATAAGCTCTTCTAATCATCGTTCAAAAATATGAATTGAGCTTTTAGTTGTGAACCTCATGGTAAAAACTGCAGGGAAATTTCCCATGTGATCGCGAGACAAAAACCCCAACTGACACTGGCGGGCAAGGTTAGCAATTTAGGAAGGCCAAACTTGGGAAGCTCTTGAAAAAAAAATATGGCACAAAAACGCTTTAACTTCGCTATTGTTGTTTATTGGAGCGAGACAGCTTGGAAGTGATAACTTTTAAGGGCACTGACTTTTCTCATGTGAACATGAAGTGAGGCCAAATATGGCACTTGTTGGACTGCATGCACCTCAAGGAAGATTCACGTTAACACACCCAAGCCCTGAAGCTGTATGTGATGTTTACACAATTTGCATTTCTTCGGCACAAAGTTGCTCGCATGATCTACGAAGTGAACTGCTTCAATATAAATGTTTTTTCTGTCTACGTTTCACACAGGTCCCCGCAGCAAGTCTAGACATTTTGGCTTGCCGAAGCAATTGTGTAATATGGACCGTATTTCCATAATAATATAGAAGATGTATTTCTCATGACAAGTTGGTACTTCAACAATTTTGTTTAGTCAAACTGACTCATGGTCAGGTTTATTAGAGCCATGTTAAAAACAAAGTGAAGTAGAGCTTATATCCTATATAACATGCAGTGATCAATATGTTGCAGTATAGCTATATAGTGAATGATTGCATGAAACATCTTAAAGAGACTTGCGTTGTTACACAAAACATAAGATACAATTTATCACATGTTTCATGCAGGTAAACTAGAATGAAACTTCTGCCTGTTGTGACATTTCAATATAATGAATATTGTTATTCTACAATCGTTGTTTATACTTGAAATGGCAAAATATGAATTGTATATACGTTATAATCATGATTCTATTTAATGGATACGCCTTCTAATATCAATACCAAACAGTGAAATGGTTTAAGATTTGGTTATATTTCTTAGCAGTCATAAAGCATTCAACTATACCCTTTCTACTGCATATATATATATCAGTGTCACATCTTTATTATTGCACACAAAATCCTACAGGCTATAGGACTGAAAGTTGCCATCTTGAAAACGTTATACTCGGGAGTGCCCTTAGTACACGATGTCGAATGCAAGTGAGATTCATAAAATAAAAGTATAATAACAACATTGTATTTCCAAAACAGCATCAAGATCCGTCGACCAAACCAATCATACGTTTTCTTCCCGACGGACGATGTAAATGACTGCATGGTCTTCATGCTCGATTATGGTGTTTATATAAATATAACTATAGTAGACATTTTGTAAAGAAAATGGGTTTATGTTCAAGAATATTGGAGTTATAAGGTTAATATTGCAACAAAGTCAGTAACTGGCCTATATTATTATAGTGACTCGGCAATGATAACGACAGCAAGACCGAGACAAGTTTGTACAGTACGGTTGTTGCAAGGTATATCAAACAGAGGGAGCGGAGAGATTCTATAGAATATTAATAGCACTTCAAGTAGAACTTCGTTTTCGTTAATAGCGTAGGCATAAAACATTATACATATGGTGATTTATAAGAAAGTATTAAACCAAATGCAACGAACGATATTCGAGCCTAACAACTTCGCTTGATATAGGGTTAGGAAAAAGTTACAAATACAATAAATGCAATGTACGTACAGACTATAGTGACATAATATACTTGTTGCATGTTGCATGATGGAAGAGAATCAAGATGTGTCAGCTTGTTTAAACGGTATGTCCTTAGCTTTTAAGTTGGCAACAGCCCAAAATGAGAATTAAACATTACTTTATGGAGCAATATAGGTAAGAATCAAGACAAAAATTCGGCATCTCAAAGAGCAAACCAGAATTTACGGCAACGTGCTTAAGGAGCATGTGAATAAGGTAGGTCTTGCCTTAAAATAATTCATTTTTTATCGGGTTTGAGAACCTTCACAAAGTCGATAACAATTTGCATCCAAAGTGTAGCATTCAGCCTAAAATATAGACTGGATGAAAGTGACAGTATAAATGCATAAAGATAATTTAGAAGGCAAAAATACGAAATTCTTGTTGAAAAACATAATAATCAACAGAAGAACTTGCTAAGTCTACTTGGAAGCGATGCATTCGATCTTGCACGTGCGTTGCTGATAGTTTTATCCAATAATTCAAGGTGAATTTAACTCTCTTATCATTCGACAAAAGACTTTTAGTGAACTCGATATAAGGCGAAAATATAAGGATTAACTTTTATGCATATACATATTTAAAAAAATATGATTAATAACGAGTGGAACCACACCTTAAAATGATTTAAATACACACTTTATGACATGTGTTTAGAACTAAACATTTGGACAGTGAATAAGTATGAATATCTGGGGAACTTGCAAGGTTGAACGCAAAATTCGTTCGGTAGACATATCTATATATAGGATGAGAATAAACTAATGGATTATATAAAATTATCTTCTCACTCCAAAAAGGATTCATATATGCAATCAATGATATTTCGAACAAGAGTAGAACACTCCTTAAACGTACAGAAAATATGATATAGACTCTCACAACCCATGTAGATGCTTTCTGAAAATCAAATAATACATATATTTCGTTATATTCCAATCATCTAACAATTATGCTTGTACATTTTTATCCTCAAGTTACTGAAGAACATTTGGTAAATGAAAGCAAATAGAATATCTAGGTTAAATAAAGCAGTAATACCTTTAAAACCTTATTTATCATTCATATATTTCGAATAAGGACCAAATGCTCCTTAAACGTATCCCTAAATATATTTCACAACCTGTGTAAGTCCTAACAATTTGAGCTTCAAAGAATATAACTCGTTTTTACCGACCTGGTTAACTGCCTGGTTACGACGGCATAAAAATGGTCTGTATTGCCATAATACAAGTATGATGTAGAGGACACTCTTATCGTTGAAAAGTATTGTTTAACAAGTCGGTGTATAAGATGTTATGCTAATATTGACTTTTAATTAAATGTTGATAAACCGGGTGGGTATAAGGTTATATAAAATACATATATATATAAATTAAAGACACGAGACAGGCATTAAAAAAAAGTTGAAATTAGTTATGGTTTTTATATGTCTTTCTGATGAGTTGTTGTGTTGACCTCTTGTACGAACGCATTAATTGCTTTTGATACATTGTCCCACCCCTCCATTCTTCTCTGGCTAATTGTGCTGCCGTCTTAACGACTGTCAACTTCGGTCGGTTGCCGTAGGGAGAAATATTTTGAAATAATCGATTTCGCAAACCACACTGTTTCCCGTCAAAGTACAGGGGATGATTTCACAGTATAAAAACAATGCCAAAGAACATGAGTTAGTGTTTTATTTTGCCTCGAATGACTCTTTCGATTAGCCTGTTCCCATGACGCTTATCACATCCAGCTGTCACAGGTCTTTGAAAAACTCCAAGTTTCAACCACTTATCCTTATGACAAGTAAACGCCTCTAAACACTACTATACATTCTTCGTCACATTTCTATAAAAGAAACCTTTCACGAAGTCAAGTTCAAACCCTAGAACTTTTCTGTTTTTCAAGCAAAGCCTTTGAGAAAGAGAGACGTGGTTCAAAGGCCCTTCGTGTATACATGAATATAAATTCCCTCGTGATATCACAAAATCTTGTTGAAGTGCACACATGTTTTAGTGACGAAAGCATCTATTTGCCTATTATATTAGAGATTTTCAAAAATAATATTTTTCTCTTGTTTCAAGTTAAAAAATTGGGATAACTTGATTCATGACAATGCATGCCTTACTATAGATGTATAATTTTCCTCAATTACTTGAATAAATTTTATATCCATGAACATGTATATAGCTTATCACGGATATATACTGAATGCAACCTGGTTAGACCTTATCTCATACAAATAGACTCCCTAATTTTTTTCCCAATTTTCTTGGGAAGCACGTCCTTAGTTTGAGTTAGCCATAGCAAATTCAGCTACAAATATTTTATACAAGACTGAAAGACAAATGTATAAGACGAGTAAAACTTAGGCTAATGTGGATATGTAGTTTGTTTAACATTACAATAGCTGAATGGCTTTCCCACCTATTCTGTCTCCTTAATGTGTGTTGTGTCATTGTTCTCAATGTTCCAAAGCCCCACGAATAATTAGTGGTAGTGTTACGAGGGACCAAATTAGGTGCTAAATGCCATAATGGCATCATTGCCTGTAATTGGGGTTGGCCTTATCACCGTTGAGCACAGGAAACCGAGGCAATCAAGTTGACAAGAGCATGTCATATTGACTTGTTGCTATTATAATTATGTTACATCCTATGTATGCAAATGACGAGTCCACTTGAGTGCATATTTAAACACATAGTTCCGTGTTTTGCGCACCAGTTGAAAGTTTGTTCTCGTCCGAGTAGGACGAATCTTAATCTCTTAGTTCACCTCAAAATGGAGCCATTTGATCTCCCGATGTCCTCTTCGTTTATGGAACCTTTAGCGAATGTTCGTGACCCATACAAAGCATCGTATGTCCCCGACATGGCCTTCAAACCACACAACGGTGAGTCACCGCTAAATAATCTACAACCACTGTACCTAGATCAGAACAATTTCGCTCAAAGTAGTAGTCAGGCATTGGATGATGTTTCCTCGCATAGCACGGGCTTTGGGTCGACGGGAAATATTTACACATGTGCTCCAGGTTTGGACCACCGGCTGTTCTCACCGCAGTCACAAACAGTTCCTCATCCACTGTCCGCCGATTCAACAAGTGTACTATACAGCCGGGATTCAACACGGCACGACAGCGAGAAAAACGATCTCTCCCCTGCAGCATTGGATCCTAACATTGCCTTCCCAAACCACCAACTTGGAGCAACCCAATTCCCTCGACCTCGCTTCCCAGGCGATCAAAGCGATGCATACTCATTCACGGAACATCCACCGTACACACAGAATCCATTTGTTTACTTCCAACCAACTCCTCCCCGAATTAAAGAGACCACGTATCAGTCATCGTACAGCCAGTTATACCCTACAGCGAATCGTCCATTTTCAAATGTAATTTGCGACCCTATGCACGATTATCATTTCCCTGTCGGTGATGTATTTCCAAGTTCACCTTCGACACGTCGACTTAGCGGAGTTGGTCCGCCCGGACACGAGTCCAAATCAAGGCAATGTTTAACCTCAGCCGATGCGGTAGACGTAGAAGGGGTCGACGATTCGTGTCGGTGTAAAAACACAGTCGAAGGAACGAAAACCTCAGTCCGACGATTTCGAAAATGGTATAAAGACAAGTTCGGAAAGAATCTTGACATGAACCGTGTTGACAGAAGCATGGCAATTTCGTTACTGAAAGACTTTTTTCTCGAGATACGCGATACGCGACCAGGCAAAGAAGGTAATGAATACGAACCGGTGACTTTAACAACTTATCGAAACGGGCTACGTCGATATTTCTTAGAGAGAAAAGTCCCCCCAGCGCCGGACAACTTCGACCTGGCAGACAAGGAATTTGACATAGTGAACTATCATTTGATCACGAAGAGAAACGAACTGAAACGAAACGGCAAAGGAAATCATCCTAACGTCGTAGAAAGCATCACAGAAGAACAACTCGAGAAAATGTGGGCTTCAGGAGCTATCGGGACACACAGTCCGCGAGCTTTATTGCGTTTGCAATGGTGGTTGAACACGATACACCACGGAATACGAGGTAGAATGGCACATCATGATCTTAATATAGAGGACTTTCAAATCTCGCGCTCTATGGAAGGAAAACTGTGTATTGAGCATATCAAAAACACAGCAAAACGAAAGCTTTCAGTCGAAAATGATAACGACTACACGCGGAACAAGCGAAAATGCAAGGCTCGAATGATCGCGACAGACGGAACCGAGCGTGATCCCGTGCGAGCTTTTGAAGTTTACCTCAAGCATCGTCCGCCAGGAATTTCATCTTTCTACCTCACTCCAAAGCATAAACCAAAAGGAGATATTTGGTTCAACAAGGTTCCGATGGGAAAAAATAGTATCGGTAGAATAATGCGCGAAATAAAGGCTGTTGCTGGTATAAATTGAGCAAGCGGCATATGAAAAACATTCAGTTATTAAACAGACAAAGAAATACTCAGTTCTATCGGCTCTTTGGCTGAAAGCTGTATAAAACTCTTTAGGTATAGTTCTGAAAAGAGTTAAATAGATGGTATATATTTATTCGTAAAGGAGACGAACTCTTTGAAAAAATCGAGTCGAACTCATATATCTAGATAATACGAAGGCTAAACATCTCAGCTACAAGGTTCGCGATCATTATTTTCTTATGTATAATTGTGGTAATCACATATTTTATAGCTACTTGGGGTAATAGATTCATATATATGTTATAGCATAGCTTAATTTTGAAGCTAATGAAACGTGCAGTCGCTAATGGGACATGTCTTTATAAAAACGGTAGATTTTATCTCTTGTGCCGAATGTACAAAAACGCGAGAGTCTTTTGTTAACACCACCCGATAAGGATTGAACAGAGAAGTAAAGTAGAACATCCAATATGTCTCACGTACATAACCGAGAAAAAGCATAAGTAAAAGTTAATTTTAAACGAGATATTTCCATATACGAAATTGCATTTAATGCAACGACACTTGTTTTGGATAGTTTGGGAAATCTCAAAGACTAAATTCACATATAAAAAGGAACTCGCTTTTTTGTACTGGATGCTTTACACATGTACAAAAGCCAAGAATTGTTCATATATCTCAGTAATGTAGGGTTTGCAATACAAACTATAAACACACGATTACATATGAGGGACTATATATATATATATTATATATTATATGTACATAAAATATATAGATATATGAACATTGGCATCAGTGTAATTCCATCTATTGTTGTATTATATATTTAGACAAAAGCTAGGCGAAATAATTGTAAATAGAACAAAGGAACGAAGATATTATTAATAAAAGCTTGAAGTATTTAATAGCTTTTACAGTATGAAGTCTGAGTAATGTTTACGAGTTATTATGTCATGCACAAAGATCAAAGCCGCGTATTGTCATATGACGGGTATAAAAACTCTTTATTCACATAACCGCGAAGTTCCTTCCTTATTTCCGACAGTCTGTGTTATGTTAAATTAATACTACGCACGGTTAGCTATGGCTCTATCTATATAACAAAAAATAGTATGAACATGAAAATTCCATGCTAAGTGGTTTCAGCACCCTATTTAACTATCACTAAAAAAGAACTCTGTTTGTTTGCTAGAATCTGTGCGCTGTGAATAATTCTTCATCAAAACATTTGCATGCATTTCACTACTCATCCCCACAGACCACTAATTCTCGTCTGACTATATATAATGCATGGCTTTCACTAAATAGACGGACAATTCATCCGCCTATTATAAAGAAGAACTATATAGTATAGCGCGTCTTTTATTTTCCGGCCGCGTGTGTGAATGTATATATATATATGAACATGTATAAACGGTTTTTAGACCAAAATGAAATTTGCTAGAATTTGCGTTATAGCCTATACAATCATATAATGTATCGCCGGTATATATACAACGAATGTCGTTTCACGGCGTATATATAACAACAATGATCTAAACTATGATTATGCTGTAAAAGAATTGCATCAAGAGAAACAGAAAACATGCATGCATAACATATAAAGAACTATAGCTAGATCAACCTAGTTCTTTCCCAAAAGTCATTGCTATATACTCTGGAATCATCTGCATGCATGGACATTCTCCTTTTCTGTATATACACGGAACACTTTGAGTAAGATTAAACTGTGCTAGAATGCCTTAAAAAGCAAAAGGTATTTTTTCTTTATAAGAATTTGTCCTTTAAACGAACCGACCACACTTAAGACTAACGACATGACTATAACTATATAAAATATAAGAATTTTGACTTTTGTTTCAATGTTGTACGCACGTCGTTATAATATATTCAAATACGATATCGTAAAATTTTCATAGATTTTTAAACTTGTGTATATGGCTACGTGTATTCACTTTCTAATGGACTTTGTTTGAGTTCAAATCGAAAATAATGTTTAACAGTAGCAACATGGGATGGCAAGGGCTTGCCAATTCTACTTATGATAAAAATTTGCATATGCAGTTTAATCTACATGTGATAAGGTATATAACTTTCCCTCTATAGTTATCATTCCGTCCTGATACGCGATCATATATATAAGGCATTTAGAATATATATGAATATATACTAACTCTGGAGTTTTAGAGAAAACTGCTTTTTGCTGAAAAAAATCTCCGAAATGTTATTCAGCAAATTGCAGGCGGAATAATCATGAACCTTGGAGGAATTTCATTTATCATGAAGTGACACATTTTCTGAACCATACAACTTGACCGATATACTAAATATTTTGTTCTATTGGACCTGACAAGGGCCGTAAATACTGAAGTAAATTGGTGGGAAATCTTAGTCGAGCAGTTAGAGGACTTGTCATGCTGTTGCCGCTAGGATTATTGACGATATTGGTGTACTGGTTAAATATTAAGAAAGGAATTATGTTAAGGACCCGTTTAAATTATCGATTTCCAACAATATATGCTGTTTATTTCCAGTGAACAACAGCGATGAATATGTGGATGAAATCAGAGGGGAAATGAAGTCGAAGTGTTTTTTTTCCGTGGGTGGTCTAAGTATATGTTAATAAATATTAAGGCAAGCCAGCCCTCCTCTGAGAACCCAGAAGGATGCATTTGAAATGAAAACAATAACGAATAAGATATTCTACTTAATACACAGTCTAGAAATACTATATAGTTTCTGCGTGAATGTATATAGCATAGAAACATACAATCTCACATTACTTTCGTAATAGGGCAGATTTCGTTTTATATATCTCAAGAATTTCCTTATGGAAAGGCATCCTTCTCGACTGACAAAGATTATGTATATTCCTAAGCTATATTACCTCTCTCGTGTATAACTTGATTCTATATTACGAGTTCTACCGATCAGAATGTATACATACAAGAAATATCTCAACTAAAATATACCGAGAGTTTCCATATGTCGAGCAAAGCCAGGAACGTTTAGACGAAGGGCTTTTACTTCAAAACGTCGATGTTGTCATTATATATTTTCAGTATTCCTGGCTCCAAAGAGAGACAAAATAATGAGAAGAATCACTCAAAATAAATGATTACTGTACAATTCAAAATTACTTTCATAATTATTATATGATTTCAATCATGAAAAATAATATGATTCATGCAGCAGCATAACAATAATGTACATCATTTCATGTATACACAAGTTGGTCTTATTTTCCTCGATTCGCTGACGGAATGGAACCGCTTAGGAAGATAAAGTTTATATGATTTCCCTGTCATAATACGCATGCAGACTTAATATTTCTTGAAACTGAAAGCATACTTTACTTCATAGACTTATATATAAACCGTAAATTATGAGTTCCATTGAACTTCATTATTCTTTGAAAACCCTCTTCATGTAATCTTTTGCAAATCATTTTCATGTAAGAATAAGTTTTGAGCAAGTGACACAAGGAAGAAATCCTCAAATGTGTGTGATAAAAGGAATGCAGTAGCTTAGAAACAACTTCTTTTCCTTTCATGCAGAAAATGCGTCGCAAAGTTAGGATTTATGCAAATATTTAGAGCCAGTAAAAGTTTTTTACTTAAAAGGAAAATTAAAAGTGTTTTAACAATTAAAATTGCTTTTAAAAGTGATGGCATTAAATGATGAAAAGACTGTAACAAGGAAGCAGTCAAATATATCCAAAGCATGCTGTAGTAACTTGAGTGAACTCTTTCACGCCATGAAGGAAATGCTATACTCGTGTGTTCAAAAATGTCTTATATCTATATCTATATACTAAATTTCTTTAATAAGGTACGTCGTTCAGCTCTTTTGTGATTTGTATGGCTGATTTTGGGGATAATGCTTGACGCATGCTAACGACAAATTTTGACAGTCGTAGTGTTGCCTGAAGGCGTCAGGCTGAAATTTGCCACTCACGTTTTGGATATGAAAACGTGCATCTGAATGAATCACTCAGACTTCTCGATGTTTGTGGAAATATAGCTGAATTATCTTTACCGAGGTCGGGTTAGATATTCTACTGATTTCGGTATAGTTATTGTATTCAGTGTTATTTTTGTAATGTCAGACTAAATGAAACTAGTATATACAAAGCACCAATTCTCAAATCATCCATAATCAGGCCGCCACATCGAGTTACTACGTATCTACTAGCTATATACTAAACGGCGTTCAAAGTTCCTGGGTGTATTTGGAAGGTGACTCAACTGCAAAACGAAAAGTGTTATCTTCTCTTTGAGTGCACCTCAGGAAATGAAACAAGGAAATTAACACAAAATAGACGGACTTAAAGATTTTCCTGGTTTAACTTTCTAAGGACATTACGCCCCTAGTTTACTCCTTGCCACTGTAACTATAACGGATAACGAAGCTGATGTTACTATAAATATCATTCAGAGTTTACATGAGTGCAGATATTTATCGGATACGCGAGTCAAACTACTGTATGGAGAATAAATCATATGGTTTAGATAGATCTTAAGATCTATAAGAGTTCTCTGATCGTATAAACAGTTCGCTGAGTTATACAAAATGTATCAGCGAAACCTAGCTTTGTACCAACCTTTGAACAATTCATGATCGAATAATTTTTTATTGTGAAAAGCCGAGAGTTCGTCATAAGTTGGTTATGTAACGCAAGGTGTGTGTATGTAGAGGGAGGAGTGTGTATAGGAGTTCCCGGGTGAGATTACACTCCCCTGCGATTTATATATAGCTATATAGCACTCGTAAAACTCGTGTTAAGCTTATTTTGGCCAGAAATGTTAGTGAAACATTAAGAAAGGAGCCCATCAGTAAACAAGGAAATTATTAAATATACAAGAATCTTTGCATGGAGATGTAGAATGAATGAACGCCCACACAATGACACAAACTCTTTATATTAATTCTAAATACGACTTTGTTTCAGATAGACTATGACACCATGCACTATTTTGCCATGATATATAAGTTATATAAGTACATTGCATTCTTGTTACTTCCACTTGGTTTAGTTAAGGATAATCTGAAAAGTCTCAAAAGCCATATAATGTATTCATGATTTATAAACAAATAAGCCATTTTGAAAGACCCACACGAATTTAGGTGGTACCAAATTAGGTATACCATACAAAATATACTTTAACAGGGACAAGTGCATAATGATAGCGTTATTACCGCCCGACAGGTACTATGCATGAGGCAATGTTCGGTTCAAATAGAAGCGATGAGTCGCGTGTACCGGGCACTTGGAAAACGGAAGGAATATTGGTACCAACACCCTTGCCACCATTTCCTTTACCTTTTCAACGAGCTAAAAACAAGACATGATTTCATAGCTCAGTTCTCGACCAAATAATTTCGAACAAACACCTATACGTGCTTCTTTTTAGCATGATCTAAATCTGATGATCAAAATAATTTAAAGTTAACATCCCATGAAGATGACAGGACGTTGCTTTTAAAGCATTTACAGCCAGTGTACGACATTAATAAACATTTCCCAGCAGAATCTTTTAATCAACGTGAGACGTTGAATCAACAAGCGCTATACATGTGCTGCCACTATAAATAAAGAAAGTTCAAGTTCATTTAGTTTACATTTCCTCAGCAATAATTAATACTGGACCAATACGAGACGTACTTTAATATAACACTATACATAGAACCACATGCTAAAGTTATACAAACTGATATAATATACAGCACTATAGACAAGTTCAAATGTGTTTAGTTTGAACAGGTTTAAATGACGAGATCTTATACACTCTTGATGCATGGGTGTGATTTCTTTCATAAAGTTTAATGTTTCACTATCCTTATATGGGCATGCATATATATAATAATTTATTCTCAATCTCATTC